ATGTCTATTTTTCATGTTGTTTAACATTCAACTGCTACATGTCTACTGCATGCTTTAAACATTTATTTAATCATTTTTATTCAGCTCTAGGAAAGGCTAATGTAAGCCTAATAATAACCTTTTCACCTTTGTGCTTAAAATAGCAGCTACATTGTATACTTGGCATCGATTGATCTTTAAATCATAGTGATTTTAAAAGTGCATAAGTCAATGTGAGTAAATGCATAATGTGTAATAATCTGATCATTTAAATGCATCATTTTCAGATTTATTATCGAGCAAACACATTTTCTTTAAAAATAACCCTTTCCCAGAGCCAAGGAGGCCATGTACTTGTGTCTTGATTTGTAACTGACTAAAAAGATAATATATCCAGTTTACAATCAAAAAAGACAACATATTATCTATTTAAAAGCAATCAGTGAATATTTGGCATGTTTGATAACATCAATTAACTATTTTTGATGGAATATAAGGGAATGGCAAACATTTTCTATGATTTGTAGACTTTGGTATGGTGTGGCAGATGTGATTTAACATGATGAAGTTTCTATACAATATGTTATATTATGTAAACAATGTAAATGATAAAACTTTTTTAATATTTAGTTTTAGATATGTCCAAATGTACCAAGAGTCCATAGAAGCTGATAAAGACTGCTTTTGTGTTGTTTCCATTATTTTCATTATTAAAATGTTATTTCACTTGACTGTTTCCATTTCATAATCACCACTTAACTCCATCAAATAGTGAGCCTCTTATCTCTTTATCCTTTGTTGATCCAAATAATCTGGTGTCACACAAAATAAAAAGTTATCGTAAAAATAAACCAAACACAGGATGAATTTATTTGTATAAATTGTTATTGTTGGTGTTATAAGATTTGGCCAGTAGATGGAGCTGTTTCACACATCAGGCGCTTCTCAGATCAAGGACAGAAAACTTCAAGAGGGGAAAGACAACACTTGATTCGTCAGCAGCCTTTGATATAGACCTACCTCTAATAGTGCTAAAGGATTGTAGCACTGTTTGCAGCATTAAAGCCATTCAGTCAAGTAGTCAGAAAATCATCAGTCTTTTGTGATTATGTATAAATATTTTGAGTAGGCTTTCAGTGCCAGACTCTGTAATTATGGCTTCTACCTTTGGTCCTACAATTCAGATGAAACGTTAATGGTGAATTTGTAGGTGACAAAGTATTTATGATAACTTATTTATAAATAAATAAATACATTCCTTATGTAAAGACTATAGGCAAGGCAAGTTTATTTATATAGCACTTTTCAACACAAGGCAATTCAAAGTGCTTTACAAAAAATGAAAGACATTAAAAAAAAGGCATTTAAAATCAGTCATTAAAAAGAAAAGCTAATAAAATAAACATTAAAAGAAAAAATACATGGATAAAAGTTACAGTGCAGTCTAAGATATGAATAGTTCAATTAAACATTAAAAGAAAAAGTACATGGATAAAAGTTACAGTGCAGTCTAAGATATGAATAGTTCAATTAAAAGCAGCGACAAAAATAAAAGTCTTGAGCCTGGATTTAAAAGTAGTCAGAGTTGCAGCGGACCTGCCGGTTTCTGGGAGTTTGTTCCAGATATTTGGAGCATAATAACTGAACGCTGCTTTACCATGTTTATTTCTGACTCTGGGGACAGTAAGCTGACCAGTCCCTGAAGACCTGAGAGATCTGGATGGTTCATAATTTAGCAGGAGGTCAGAAATGTGTTTTGGGCCTAAACCATTCAGTGCTTTATAAACCAGCAGCAGTATTTTGAAATCTATTATTTGACACACAGGAAGCCAGTGTAAAGACTTCAGAACAGGAGTGATGTGATCCACTTTCTTAGTGTTAGTGAGAACTCGAGCAGCGGCGTTCTGAATCAGCTGCAGCTTCCTAATAGATTTTTTAGTGAGACCTGTGAAGACACCATTGCAGTAGTCGAGTCTACTGAAGATAAAAGCATGGACAAGTTTTTCCAAATCCTGCTGTGAGTATATCTAGTCTTTTAATCCTAGATATATTCTTTAGGTGATGGTAGGCTGATTTAGTAACTGTTTTAATGTGACTGTTGAAACTCAGGTCAGAGTCCATGACTACACCTAGATTTCTGGCTTTATCTGTTGTTTTGAACATTGCAGACTGAAGCTCAGCGCTAACTTTTATACGTTCTGACTTGGCTCCAAAAACTATTACTTCAGTTTTATCTTTGTTTAATTGGAGAAAGTTCTGACACATCCAGTCATTGATTTGTTCAATGCACTTACTCAGTGTTTGAATTGGAGCATAGTCTCCTGGTGAAATTGTTACGTAAATGTGTGTGTCATCTGCATAGCTATGGTAACTTATTTTGTTGTTTTTCATTATCTGAGCCAGTGGTAGCATGTAGATGTTAAAGAGAAGAGGCCCCAAGATGGAGCCTTGAGGAACCCCACATGTCATATTTGTCAACTCAGATGTGTATTTACCTATAGAAACAAAGTTGTTTCTGTCCTTTACTGTAAGTAGGATTCAAACCAATTTAGAACTGTTTCCGAAAGTCCCACCCAGTTTTCCAGTCGGTCTAGTAATATGCTGTGGTCAACAGTGTCAAACGCAGCACTGAGATCTAATAATACTAACACTGAAGTTCTGCCACTGTCTGTGTTTAAGTGGATGTCATTGAAGACCTTTACAAGAGCAGTCTCAGTGCTGTGGTTTGGACGAAAGCCTGACTGGAACACATCGAAACAGTTATTTAAATGCAAGAAGTTACTCAACTGTTGAAAAACAACTTTTTCAATGATTTTACCTAGAAATGGGAGGTTTGATATGGGCCTGTAATTGTTCATTACTGAAGCATCTAGATTATTCTTTTTTAAGAGCGGTTTAATGACTGCAGTTTTCAGGGCCTGTGGAAAAATACCTGAGTGAAGAGATTTGTTTACTATATGAAGTAGATCTGAGGCCATGCAAGGCAAAACATCTTTGAAAAATCCTGTTGGAATAATATCAAGGCAGCAGGAGGAGGATTTCAGAAGTTGTATAATGTCCTCTAGGTTTTTATCATTAATCTGATGGAATTGTGTCATGGTGTTTGAATTGATGTTAAGTGGACACAGAGACAACACATTTGCTGTTCCTGATGCAGAGGCACTGACTGCTTGTCTGATTTTCTGAATTTTGTCAGTGAAGAAGGAGGCAAAATCATTGCACGCCCTGGTGGATAGAAATTCAGAGGCTACTGACACTGGGGGGTTAGTTAGTCTGTCGACGGTAGCAAACAAGACACGTGCGTTGTTTTTGTTTTTGGTAATGATGTCAGAGAAGAACGATTGTCGTGCGTTTTTCAATTCCAAATTATAAAGGCCAAGTCTCTCTTTATAGATTTCAAAGTGAACCTGGAGATTTGTTTGTCACCACCTGCGTTCAGCTTTTCGACATTCTCTTTTTTCTGTTTTCACGCTCATGGCCTTTCTCCATGGAGATATTTTCTTGCCAGACACTTCCTTTACCTTAGTTGGAGCAATGGCATCTATAACATTTTTAATTTTTGAATTAAAATGATCTACTAGCTCATTTACTGAGATGTTAGCAGGGGCAAGTGTGGAAGAAAAATTCTGAGTAAACATTTCCCTAGTGTTTTCAGTTAAATATCGCTTTGTGGTTACCTCTTTTTGAACATTTTTGTGAACAGAAATAGAGCTCTCAAAGAAAACACAGGAATGGTCAGAGAGTGCAACATCAGTCACCACAACCTTAGAGATATTCAGACCTTTTGAGATAATTAAGTCCAACCCTTATACAAAGTATTTTGTAAGTCATTGTGAGCTTTAAGTTGTTGTTTAATATGATCTAAAAGTAAAGATAAGTGTTGGCCAATACTCTGCTGCTAATGAGGGTAGTATACTGTGAATTGTAGACATGTTTAAATAAAGTCCAAACTAGTGAGTTCAGATATTAAACAGCTCCAATAATGTCTGCAAAAAGTCCACTTACTAAGTTATAGTTTATCAATTGGATTGATAAAAGCTGAAATTCATCGATGGGTTCAACTTCAAATGAAAGTTAAACATTAGGAATGAATGAAAATTCAAAAGTATGTTTTATGGTATGGTGCTATTTATATAATTTATAATAGTACTTGTAGTACTTGTAGTAGTAGTAGTAGTAGTAGTAGTAGTAGTAGTAGTAGTAGTAGTAGTAGTAGTAGTAGTAGTAGTAGTAGTAGTAGTAGTAGTAGTAGTAATATTAGGATAGCAGTGGTAGTAGTTGAAAGTGTTGCCAACACTTACTTTGGAAGCGATGTGTGCTTCTTCAAAATGTTGCATATATGAGGAAGCACTTGTGAGTAAAGACCAACTGCAGTGTCACGATCTCTTTCAAAATATTAAAGGAAATTAGCTTGATATTATAAAACAGGATGAAACTAGAGTGGTTGAACTTCCCTTATATAATATTTATCAAAACAACATGACAGAGAAAGAAACAATCTGATTTCAGTTCTCTTTTGGCTTGCACGGACAGACGTACAGAGGCAGCACAGTACATGTCTCCAGCTTCTAGTTGAAATTGTAAAGCAGGGAGTAAACTGCTACTTTATTAAACTGTTGGGAAACTAAATTATTAAAAGATGATGCGCCGACTTTCTTGCGCAGGGTAAAGGGAGGGGGCATTAGAATATCCAACCTACGTATTGTTGATTTGACTGACAAATGTATACAGTATGTGCCACTAAAAAAAGTAACATGTAGCATTCTTCACTTATTTTGCACTGTATAAATCATATCAATAAAGCCAATGTGTTGTTTTAGAAAATGAGGAGAAAATGTAATTACAGTGCTTAAATAGTTTAAATGTGACCGTTGAATATTGAATAGACTTTAGGAGATTTCTTCTTCTTTTTTGGATGATGGATGGATTGTGCCAGTGTCTCCGCCCTCAAGTTGGTCAATAGTGTCCCTACCCACAGGTTAGCTAATTCTGCCAACCTTCTGCTACAGATTAATCCTCAACCAAATGGAGAACTTCAAGGAAGGTATGTGTACGATTTTTTTTAACTAGATTAATCTGAAGAGGTTGTTGAAAGGGAACATGAACATTTATTTTGGGTTTAGAGGTATAGAGAGCTATTGAAAATGCTTCAATATAAATAATAAAGCTTTATTTATTTTTCAGATGGCTTACTTGTTTGTGGGCCAATAGTTTGAAAACAGTTTGTACATTTTTAAGCTTTTGGTCAACAAAACATGTTCCTATAGCAGATGGCAATTTAGATTTGTATCTCTTTTTTTTTGTGAAACGCCTTTGTTACAGTTTGGTGTAATAATGTACAAGAAAAAAGAAGAGAGAAAACTTACAGTTAACAAGTTTCAGTGTCAGTGAAAATAGTCAAACACGCAAAGAACAGTACCTATTTTAAAGGTCTGGAGAGTAGACGCTTTGTTTGGAGTTTAGATGACATTACAGATTATTCCATGAGAGTGCAGCACTGACAGCAAAGGCATTTTTTAGATTAACCTCAGGGGAGAACAAGCATGTTCATGTCTGAAATCCCAAAAGCCTACACCACAGTGAGAGGCAGTTGATATTTAAGCTTGAGTTAAAGTGTATCAGCAATCACGTCTATAAATAATTTAATGTTAATTTATCATCAAGTGAAATGACAAGATTTTATTCTGAAGTATTCTGTGCAATTCTATGATTTGGCTAATCTCGTATTTTATTTTAATTTGTTCTTTGAATCTCCAGACTTGCAGGGATTTTGCTTTAGAGGTGGAAGTTTTATCCAATTGATTTTTGATGTACTAAAATTGTATTATTATTATTAAAAGATTAGCATAATGCATCTTGCAATACATGAATTATAGACAGGATAAGCAACACAGTATTAAACAGTATTGTTTATGTAAAGATGGATTATATATACATATATATATGGATTCTTTGCTTTTACTGTGATCGATTATGTTACACTTCAAGACTTGCTTGAGACCTTTCTTCATGTTGTTTTCTCATATCGTTATTGCAGGTTTCAATGCAACAATGGAGATGACTGCTACCCCTTCTTATAACATCAACACAACAGACGTGTCTGAAAATAATGGCTCTGTGTTTACTGACAAGTATGCTGATCTGAGAGAGTCTCTCAACACCATGTCCCTTGTAATTTACTGCCTGACCTTTGTTCTCGGTGTGCTCGGGAATGGAGTGGTTATCTGGGTGACCGGATTCAAGATGAAGAAAACAGTTACCACAGTTTGGTTCCTCAACCTCGCTGTGGCCGACTTCCTCTTCACAGCACGTTTACTGCTGAGTGTTGTTTACATAGCTATGAATTTTCACTGGCCCTTCGGCAAGTTCATGTGCAAGCTGAACAGAACTATAAGCTTTCTGAACATCTTTGCCAGTGTCTACATCCTGATGGTGATCAGTGTGGACAGATGTGTGTCTGTGGTGTGGCCCATCTGGGCCCAGAACCACCGAAGTGTACGCAAGGCGTCCTGTGTGAGTCTGGGTGTTTGGGTACTGGCTCTGACTCTCAGCGCTCCATACTTCGTGTTTAGGGACACTGCGCCATCATATTTCTATGAAGACATCATCAATTGCTTCGACAACTATGCTCTTTCTGATGACTATGTAACAGAATCTGTGAATCAGCTGCGTCTGTTTCGTCATCAGGCCATGACCATCACCCAGCTCCTCCTGGGATTCGTTGTCCCCTTCACTGTCATTGTCTCCTGCTATGCTGTGACAATCCATCGTCTCAGAAGAAACCGCACCCTGGCCAGCCAGTCAAGTCGTCCCTTTAAGATCATCGCTGCAGTTATCACCACTTTTTTCCTGTGCTGGGCTCCTTTTCACATCATGGCTTTAATTGAGCTGGTGAATGTATCTCAACGCAGTGAAACATTAGGCTATGTCATCACCATTGGGGTCCCTATAGCAACCAACCTGGCCTTTCTCAACAGTTGCCTAAACCCACTGCTGTATGTGTTCATGGGCAAAGATTTCAAGAATAAGGTCTATAAATCCATCCAGGCTGTACTGGAGACTGCCTTCCAGGAGGAAGTATCAGGATACCACAGAGACACACAGTCAGGGGACACCAGACAATCAGCTCTTAGTACTGAAGTATAGGGTTGTCAATGACATGAAGGAACAAATACTGGAACTGTATGAAGCAAATTATCTTGACACAAATGTAAATGTCTATTGAAAATCCCTTTCGCTTTGCTTTTGTTGTCTTCATATCAGGACCCTCAAGACGACCTGTAAACATTGTGCCAAATAAAAGCACTTAGACCTGATATAGACTTGTGAGTTTTATATGAACTTTAAGTACAATTAAATAGAAATTGTGATGCATTTGTGTGCTAAAAATGTGTTTTCAAATGGCCACAAGAGATCTGCAGTTCTGTGGATGGTTGGTTGTTGAATCACAGCAGTGCCTTAAGTCTGTACCATAATAGAGATAAAAGGATTGTAAAATGTCATTTCCTGAGCAAAATAACCCAGCAGTTGTTTCAAAATAGATATTTCATGAGATGTTGGTCAAATGTGTGCAACCCACGCAATTACAACAACAATGTTAGGTTGACAAAGAGAGCTCTGTTTTTTTCCATCTCTCACTTACACAACATACTTTGATTGCCATTTCCTTGCCTTGACAGTAAAGAAAACACTCGAAAAAATAAGTCTGAGTTGTTTATATCTGCAGCACAGTGGCGACCGGCCCATAGGGGCGCTAGGGGCGCCGCCCCACCTCTTCCCACATACAAATAATATATATAAAAAAATATTAAATTAAAAAAAAAATATTTAAAAAAAAAATATTTAAAAAATATATATATTTTATATTTTTATTTTTAATGAACAAGGTAAATATCATACAATTGGTATCAGTAAAATGTATAATCTACAATAAAATCTCGTTTAAAATTGTGTTACGATGTCTAAAGTTACTGATAAGTCACATGTTTCCTGCCTGGCCTTGCCCATGGCATTAGTTTATCATTACCGGGCGGAGCCCCCGAGCCAAACAGCAGCAACCAGCACGTTGCAAAAGTCTCGATAGTAAATTGTGCCGCCGAAACATAATTTCAGCCAATCAGCGCCGTCAAATATTTTGGTCACGAGGGCGCTCACGTTGGCGCCCACGTTGCTTACATGCGTTTACGTGAGTTGTTTTTTTAGACTCGTGAGTGACCAACCACTAGTAGTTGGATGAGAATGGTGTGTGCAGCTGGAGTCGCCGGACCTCAGTCCGCACCCAATTCGTGCAAGAGCTACTCTCCAATCCTTTCGAAAGGAGAAGTTTGGGAGATAAATTGATACTTAAAGACCTTGGACCGGACCAACCCGATTTGTATATATCGCAGCAAGCTCGTGAAAAAGACATGTAGCTGGTACACCAGAAAGGCATGGCTAGCTGGATGCAAACAGGTAAATGCTGTCTTTTGTTTCAACATGCTTGCTCTTCAAACAGCCGGGGACAGATACGATCTGTTCAGAAACTAGACACAAGTTAAACAAGTACAAACCACAGACTGTCTGTGTCATGGAGAATACAGTCGCTGGTTTATTTATGTCTGTATAGGCCGTTGTTGTGAGTGTGGACGGTCGGAGCATATAACGTTAGCTTAGCCAAGCTCCATTCAGAAAACAAGCATTCTAAAAGGTTTTTCGCCTGCCGTCTGTCTGCAGACTTGTCAAAGCATTAATTCATGGTTTTTACTAACCGGTATCAGTATGTTGTTACTTCGGCATAATTTAGAAACGTGTATTACAATTTAATCACGGTAAAATATGTTCATTTTGTTGTAGTTGTAGCTCCCGAGCCAGCGCGTCTTGTTTGAATGATGCGAGTAAACACAGCTGGCAGCCGCGGTGAAACTCGAGCGACTAGAGCGATGCGATAGGAGCGTTTAGAGCGAAGCGAATATTCGCATCGCGTCCGGTCTGAACGCAGCATTATGCTACGTTCACACCGGACGCGATATATATATATATATACAGTGCAATAAGCTTATTAGTGCAATAAGAAGCTACAGGGACGTTAATCTTCGTTGGTAATATTAACTTTATTTAATACAATATGTACGGTACAAGATTTAATCATACAGCCCATGTAGTATAATATTTTACAAATGATGAATTACAGCAAACATGTGCAATATATCCATTATTACAGCTCCGTGGGATGGCAGTAAGGCGATATGGGTCCGTTCTTATTGTGCATCCATGGGTAAAGATAAACGCATGTGGTGCTGAACACGTAACTTGAACGTGCCGGGCAGCGCGGTCTATGAAGGGCCGTGTAGGCCAAAATTCAAACTCACCTCGCACACACACTACTGAAAACATCTGACCTTACACACACACTACTGAAATACTCTCACATTCACTACTGAAAATTAACCTCACACACACAACTGAAAATTAACCTCACACACACACACCTGAAAATTAACCTCACACACACACACAACTGAAAATTAACCTCACACGCACACTATTGAAATACTTTCACATTCACTAGTGAACACCTCGCATACACAACTGAAAATTAAACCTCACACATGCAACTATAAATTAACCTCACGCACATACTACTGAAATACTCTCACATTCACTACTGAAAACCTCACACACACTCCTGAAAAACATTTTACTGAAAGGTTCTCAGTAGGGAATGTGCATGTGTTTCACCTATGTGTGTGTGAGGGAATTCTTGCTGTAACGGAAGTCATTGTAATGAAACGGAAGTAGGCCTACCAAACTGCTCTGCTAGTGGTCTCTTTGCTAGCCCCGTGAGCTTCATTAGCTCCAGGCTGCTACTCGGACGTGTTTATTGTGTTGATGCCTGGTGGAGTATTCTTAATTGAAATATCGCACTTATCTTATGGCTCTGCGGTTCAAACAGACCGTCCATGAATGCAGTTTTTTCATTTCATTTCAAACCTTTATTTGTACAGATAAATCCCATTGAGGCAAGGCAAGTTTATTTATATAGCACTTTTCAACACAAGGCAATTCAAAGTGCTTTTGAGAGATCATTGATCTCTTTTTCAAGGGATACCTGCTCAAGTAGTTCCACATGAAACATAAAAACATAAATAGAACAACAAAAGGACATCATACAGCATCACAAAAGGATATCATACAGCATCAACAAAAGGACATCATACAGCATCATAATGCATCATAGTTTATTCGGTAAGTGAAATTCAAGCCCTTTATTTCTTACTTGTCTTTTTATTCAGCTAACGAGCGAGACGAAGCTACATCTGTGCTAACGATGCTATCCGTAGCATACAAGTTCAAACATAATAGAGAAGTGTAAAACATTAAGAAGGATTATACTGTAGAACAAAAGGCTTCTCGTGAGGTTGGTAAAATAAGGTCATGCTTGTACATTAGTTAGTTTGCTAGTTAGGTAACTGTATGCATTGTTATTGTTAATTTAAAATAGCTATGCTCGACGATGCAGACAGCTAGCATCACATTAGTGTCGAAGAGCAGAGTACTGTATGAAATTAACCTCACTATAAGATCTGTGTATCTTAAAAATATGAATCTCACATTTCCAGTTGTTTCCAGAAATAACGTTAACGTAGATATTGCAATATGGTTTGTTGAGCTGGAGTTGATTATTGAAGCTTACTGGTTAACGTTCATCTTTCACACAGTGACGTCACGAGCTACCCACAATGCAATGAACAAACCCAAACGTTGTTGTTTTTATTAATATTATTACCAATACTTACTAAGCATTGTATTATCATTGCACTGGAGAAACCGACTTATTGTGGCAGCAGAACGTGAACATGTAACTTAATGCCTGCATTTACATTTTACATTGCATTTAGCTGACGCTTTTATCCAAAGCGACTTACAATAAGTACATTCGACCAGGAAGACACAACCTTGAAGAAAACAGAATCATATAAGTACATCAGGTTTCATAGAGCCAAACATTTCAAGTGCTACTCAACTGGCTATAGATAAGCCCAGGGTTTCCCACACATAGACTATACTTGGGCGGGCCGCCCAGGTATATTAACGGCCGCCCAAGTATATTTCGCGACCCATTTAGGTTTTTTTTTTTTTTTTTTTTTTCTTTCTTTTTTTTTTTTTATACGTCCGTGACCATGACGCCATCTGCGATCGATTAACTTGTAGACAATGATCCCTCGCTCCCTTGCTCTGATCTCGCCTCCTTCTGGCCTGTTAAGTGGCCTGCCTCACACAGGGTGACTGGCTGTCCACATGATGTGGCCTGCCGACATGGCCACTGTCATACAGATCATAAATCAAAGCCCTTGATTGGTCTCTGTGTGTCATTCAAGCTCGGGATAACCTCAGCTCAGGTGAGGTAAAGCACTCTCTGAGTGTTTAGATAGTTAACTTAGTCTAAGTTCTCAGTGGGTCTCAAACGGTGTGGTCACCATTTATGTAAACACATATTTCCATTTGAGAGGGTAGTGATTGGTCTAATGGATAGTGAGGTGGGCTGAAGATCGGAAGGCTGTGAGTTCAAATCCCGCCAGGAACACCACCACTAGTGTGCCCTTGAGTAAGGCACTTAGCCCTTAGTTACTCCAGGGAGAATGTCCCTGTAATCGGTCATTATAAGTCGCTTTGGATAAAAGCGTCAGCTAAATGAAATGTAATGTGATGTGATTAGTAAAATATGCATGAATAAATAAATAAAAAGTTAACTAGGTGAAAAAAGGTAAGATACACTTTTAAAACTTGTTGAGAGAAAACTAGTCTTTGCTGCTGCCTCAAAGAGGAGCAGGGGGAGAGGAGGGAGACAGGAGAGGCTGATTCAGGAGCACAGACACACTCACAACTATAAATGAACCAAAAATAAATTAATAAACAAGTTTCAGTGTTTTTTTCATATTGGATATGGTAGGTTATTGGTTATGGCCATGATTTTATGATTATTGAAATGTATACAGTTCTGTTTAATATAGGTGTTTCCATAGATCTAGTCTCTTTATTTTCCCCTCAAAATGCACCAGATTGATGCATTTAACTCCAAAATAAAAAATTAAATCTTACCGGGGGGGCATGCCCCTGGACCCCCCCTAGAGGATTTGAGGTTGGTTGGATAGGTTCCTAAATACATTAATAAATACATTTATTTTTTTAAATAGTAACCCATTTCCATATGTTCATGTGTGGGTAGTAGATTTAAACTATAGGGCTATCATTATGGGCCCTGCCTGTACCTGTTCGCTCTGCCATCGCGTGAAGGGTCTGCTAACAAGCGACCAACAGAAAGGTTAATGTTGTTGCA